CGGTACCGACTCCACGGCACATAACAACAACAACAAATGCTACCAGAGCTCGCTGCATATAGAAGAATGGACCTAAATACTACAACTGGTCTCTTGTAACCCTTCCTTTGGTCTCATTTTCTACGGATCCTGTATTACTTTAGTTTAGCAAAATACTCCAAGTGCCCCATTCATGGCTATCTTATCCATGTCAAATGTATTTCATTATCTCAGTGAATTATGCCATTAGTAACATAGATTTTCTTTTATACACAAAGAAGCTGACATCTGTTTACTTTATTAACAGGATACCAACAGGCCTGGAGCAAAGAAACTACAATTCCATTCCCATTTATCTGCTATAATTCAACCTAAGATGTCTTAATCATTGCTGTGTATCTCAGTGTGCTTAGCAAGACATGGTCAGTAAATTGTTTATAAATTGGATTAACCTTTTAGTTTTCACTGAGATAAATTACTGCATTTCAATGTACATTTCTCGTCTGTTATCTCTTTTGTCTCAGGAAAAAAAAGATGCCTTATAGGCCTTACAAAGGTTTTCCCAATACAGCAGCTGCACACTGAATCTGTTTAGCATAGTTCTGAAACTCCTCATTTCTGCAATGTAGAGCCAGTAGTTAACACTCAGAGGAGTCTCTAAGTGGTGCAAATGGTTAGGTGCTCAAATACTAGCCAAAAGGTTGGCGATTAACAACCACCCAGAGGTGCCTTAGGAGTTCTGGTGTCGTGCTGTGGGTTAATGAGCTGGCCCGCAACGTTGATTTGAACTGCAAGATCGGCAGTTGAAGCTCACCGGTCTCTCCTCTGAAACCCTATACAGGGTCGCTATGAGTCAGAATTAACTCAACAGCACTTAACAACATAATAAGATGCGACTTAGAAGACAGGCTGGTCATCTGCTTCCAAAGGTCAGACTTGAAAACCCTATGGAGTGCATGGGGTCACCATGAGTCAAAATCACACAATGATTGATCCTGAGTCAGGACCCATTCTTAGTACGTGTTACTTAAAAGTCCTTCTATCAACTTCCCTACGTGTCTGTCAGTTTTTCCTACTGTGTAGCTTGCATGTTGCTGTGATGCTGGAAGCTTTTCCACTGAAGATTCAAATGCCAACAGGGTCAACCCATGGTGGTCAGGTTTCATCACAGATTCCGGGCTAAGAACAGAGGGTTAGTGAAAAAGAGGAAGACACCCAAGGACATGGATTGACACAGTGGCTGTAACAATGGGCTCAACCACAGCAACTGTGATGGCAAAGTACCAGGCACCATTTCATTCTATCGTGTAGAGAACCACGGAGTTGGAGCTAACATCAACTCATTTACTCCTCACAAACATCCTCTGAGGCAGGCTAGTATTATCCGTTTCACAGATGGGTTAAGTAACATGCTCACGGTCACACAGCAATCTGGCTCCAGTACATATGCTTTTCATTCGTGCCTCTCCCATCCTCTAGTTAATGTTGTTTGTTGTTGTTATTAAGTGCCATTGAGTTGGTTCCAACTCATAGCGACCCTGTATAGGGTTTCCAAGGAGCACCTGGTAGGTTTGAACTGCTGACCTCGTGGGTCACAGTCCAGTGCTGATCCACAGCACCACACAAAAGTCCTAGTTAATGTTAGTCCAGAGTTCATATGTTGGTTCCACAAATTAAATATATGCTCTTTAAAGCCCATGTACATTCTTACCGCTGGTTTTCATGGAAAAACATGCTACAGGAAATCATACAACATACTTTGCAAGCTTTGCTACAGCTATCCTATCAAAAGGATTGAAATGATTTAGGAACTGAAATCTATGAGTATTTTCATAAAATGAAGATGACATGTACTCCATAACTATGTAGAAACTTTCCCTATTAGATGGAAAACCCCTTACCCTAGGGACACTTTAACCTTATTCTGTCTTCCTTCATTAAACTCAGAGACAGTCAATCTGAAATGATGATTGCTCAAATCTTACTGGTTCAAAATGGCATACACTTCAGGCTTTAGATTATGTTCTTGAATTCCCTGCAGTCACAGCAAAACACTTTAAGTACCATCTTTGGTAAGCTCGTCAAAGTTTTCAGTAGTGGGGAAGTAATGGAAATGGAAAATTACCCCTACCACACTTCAGTTTGGAAATTAAAGTTCAGAAAATCATAAAATGAAATTTTAAGTAGGATTTATTGAGTGCCTATAGTGTGAATGATTTTCTATTATACACAATGAAATGCAGGCACAGCTGAGACATACAATCCCTGATCTCAGGCACCTTATAATCGACTTTGTATAATACAGATTAGAAACAGAACACAGACAAGTTACATGTCAACGCTCAATTACTAATGTCAGCATTAAAGAGGTTCAGTTCCAGTAATCCAAAAAGGCAGTTAATCTGGAAAGCACGTGTTTGGCCTTGGAATCCACAGCACTTCAAACAGGATAATTAAGTTCTGCTGTAGATAAAGTCACAAAATACAAATACAGCAAAGCATTTAATGATTTTTGCTATTTTGAATCTTGTGTTTTCTTCTTATTATCGTTCTAAGTCTACGTAATACCAATTTATCAGACAGAAGCATGTCATCTTGTTGTTCTAGATAATCCAGTAAATTTTCAGTCCATTCAAGTGCAGCTTTATGACTAATGTGCTTCTCTAGAGTCAGTTCTGTTTTTCTAGTTTTACTGGAAGGCTTTTGCTCAGCAGGTTTGGCCTGATCCTCAGGACCTTCGTTGTCAGTTAGCACCTGACAGCTAGAGTCATTACTCTGAGAGTCAAACCACTGATCGATATGCCCAATGTCAGCATGTTCACAATCTTCTGTCTTCTGTAAAACCGTTGCTAAATTAGCTGCTAAAATGGCTCCTTCATCAATGTTTACACCTGGATTATCGTCATAGCCAGGGAAAAGTTTTTTCCATGCTTTGGTTATAGTACTTGATTTTACCATATTCCAAGCTCTTGATACTTCATAAATTGCATCCAGCACTGTCAAGTTCTTCCAAAACATTTTTGGGTCAATTCCTTCACCCATATATTTCTGGAGAAGTCCTGCTCGGTAGTATCTTTTTACTGTAGCTAGAACTCCCTGGCTCATAGGTTGTATTAGACTTGTAACATTAGGTGGCAAATGTTTCACAATTATTTTGCCATCATCTGAACTCAACATTTCTTCATTTGGATGTGCAGGGGGAAAATCCAAAAGAAGAACTGCTTTTTCTAAAAGACCCTTGGATTTCAAATGTTTCTGTACCTGAGGCACAAAGTATTTTTCAAACCACTGTCTGAAAACAGAATGTTCTATCCATGCAGCCTTTTGACTGAAGTAAGTTACAGGAAGGTTAGAAAGGTCCGTTCCTTTGAATGCACGGGGTTTTTTTGCTTTTCCCACAACACAAAGATTAAGTTTGTGTAAACCTGTGGCATTTGCACAACACATAATAATGATTCTCTCTCTGCTTGACCTATACCCAGTACTTTGCTCAGTGTCAAGAGCTAATGTCCTTGATGGTAGACATTTCCAAAACAATCCAGTTTGATCAGCACCATAAATTTGCTCTGGTTGTAAATTCTCCTTCTCAACAAATTCTTGAAAGTTACCACAAAATTCACTGGCAGCAGTTTCATCTCCTTTTAATTTTGTTCCTTTACCAGCAGCCTTTGGAATACCATGACGCTGCTTAAATCGAGTTAGCCAGCCAGAAGACGCATTAAAGTCACCTTCCATCCCTAAAGCATCAAAAAAGAACTTAGCTTGTTTTGCACAGATTGTTCCAGACACTGGAATCCCATCTGTTTTCTGCTGATTAAACCACTCTATCATAACTCTATCAAGTTCCTCATATGTTGATGATTTCATGGATTTACGTTTGGATATGCCACTTGTAGGATCTGAACTGTTTGCGTAGTTTATGATCCTTTCTCTGTTCTTCTTAATATCACGAACTGTTGATTCACCAATTCCATATAGCATAGAAAGTTTTTTAAAAGAGATGCCTTCCTCGAGTTTTTTAATAATATCAAGTTTGTCTTTAATTGTCAACACCACACGCTTTCGTTTCCCCAACATTTTAAGTGTGGTATTTTGGCAACTACTAGAACAAGATATTTAACAACTGAGAATTTAAATACAAAGATACTGAAAAATGGGCTCTTCAGGTCTCTCTCTAGTTCCCCAGGACCTATATGCTTACTGTGCTGGTCTATATTCAGGAAAAATCTACGTGAGTCTCTTCACCGACTGCATTAAAACAGTTAGGACTGTTTTAAAATTATGGAAATTCAATTTAAGTAGGATTTATTAGTGCGTGTAGTGTGCATGGTTCTCTATTACACACAATAACATTCAGGTATAGAAGAGACACACGAAACAGCTAGGACTGTTTTAAAGCAAGAAAAAATTTCAGTAAACTCTTATCTTCTGTCTTTCCACCTCCTTACTTTAAACTGTTTTTATGAACTACAATCTTAGCAGAGGTTAGAAGTTTAACCAATATCCTTCCCTAAAACAGTCCTGTTGAATATTCAATTCTGGTCAGCATCATTGCAGTTGACGAGCTGTGCGAAAGTTACCAAAAACACAGCTGGGGCATTCTGGAAAATGTACTAGGAAATAGAGCTTAATTCTGCACTCCTGGTGTGGTGCTATAGGAGTAGTACTGGACTGCGAACCACAATATTGGCAGTTCAAACCCACCAGCTGCTCTTAGGAAACCGTATACCGAGTCTCTATAAATTGGTATGGACTTGATGGCTCTTAACAATTCTAGATGGGGTTTACAGACTTGACACTCCACTTTCCTGGGTATGTTGTCTGTCCGCACATCATATGGAACGCTAGTTCTTCTCGGCAAAGACTTGTAAATTGCGCAGGTGTATGTTATGAAACTCACGGACAAGCAAGTTCGGGGAGCTGGACAGAAGTGAGCATTACAAGTTCGTCCCAAGTGATCAAGTGGAAAGCTGTACTTTAACAGTGCACCAACTTACTCCTAATGTATTTGGCAACTAAAAGGAGAAAGGTGGACAAGCGGTAGTGTCACATGATCAAAAAAGCAAGCATCAAAAAACTTCACTGGGGGCAATCAGGACCATGGCAGAGGCACTGGGTGGAAGGCTCAGTGAAGACGGTGTTACAACGATCCGGTAAAAAAATGATCCTCGATGGGTCAACAGAAGTTCTTGTGGGGTTGTATAGGAACTTGGAGCCTCCAAAACCTACAGAGAAATACGAAAAACATATATATATATATGTATATATTTCAATATCAGGGTCTGTGGCATTATCCACATTTATTCTCCAACTATGTTGAGAAATTAACGCCTCGAGTTAATTGGATAGCTGAAAACATTACGCATTATCTGGGACGACAGAGAGAGGGACCTAAATTGCCTACCTCCCGAAATTAAAAGGTCAGAGAGAAGCCGTGCTAGCGAGGGCCTCTCCCCGCAGGGCGAACTCCGGAGCGCGGGGCGTCTTTCCTCACGCGGAGGGAGCCCAGTTCCCATGCACGGCGGAGACCAGGGTGTCACCGGCGTTGCCAGCGGGGCGTAGGGGACGCCAGTCCGCAGGCCCAGCCATCGCTCTCCGCCTGCTTGCACGGGGCCAGACCGCACCGAGAGCAAATGGAGTCTCCCGAGGGAGGCTGACACTGGCGGCGCAGCAGAAACGAGGGGCAGCGAAGAACAAGCGTCGCCGCCGGAGCCGGAAGGCGGGGGATTAGGGAGCACGCGCGCGCTCCCGGAGCGTTGTGTCAGTGAGGGGGCGGGGCCTTGAGCGGGCGAGGGCGCGCTCGGCCAGGGGCGGGGCCTCCGTTGAACAGGGTACAGTGGGCGGGGCCCGGCGCCGCACGCCGTCGTTACGGCGTCTCTGGCGACACGTGGGTCGGACTAAAGTCCCCACTGCTTCGGCTGCCGATAACTTTGTAGACCACTAGGGGGCAGAACAAGCCCATCTTGTCTAGGCTCTTCTGCCTTTGGCCAGACTCTGCAGTGGATGCAAGCTTTCTAACTCCAGTGGGAATAAAACTAACATCCCCTGAGGGCTGGGAGAAAGCTACGCTTCTTCGGGTGTTTAGAGCGGGCTGCGGATGAGGCTGGGCGAGAGCACGTGGAGCGTATTTACAACAACGGGCGTTGCTACCTCGAGCAGGCGGTCACTGCCCGCACCTCCCAGCGCCCCTTCTCCACTGTCCCGCGCCTTCGCGTCCCGGAGGCTGCCCGCCCAGACTGGACGAACCGCAACAAGGATCATGAGCCATGGTAGGAGCGAGCGGAGGCGGCTGCTGGGACGTGGGTTCCCAGAGGAGCTGATGATCAATTCTGTAACACCCACCTCCACAGAGGCAGGTGGTCAAGTTAGGTATCCGTCTCCCATCCCCGATGTTCACATTCGAGGGTTTAGGTCACTGTCTTCTTTGCAAAACCGACTGCACCTAGGAGACACAGGAACCTATGGGAGGAACCGTCGTGAATTCCTGCCGCCCCTCTGATCCCCCTACTCCTCGGTAGTAGTAAGGGAATTGACGTTTAACCAAAACTTATTTTATTCAAACAGATACTGTACGTTTTTATTTTAAAAAATGGAGCGAATCTCAGCACCTGTGCACGAGTCACCGCTACAGATGAACCGTGCCTTCGTATTCAGTTCCCGGATTCTGTTCCCTGCAGAGCATCAAGAACTTTCCAGGGAGAGGGAGAGGCGGTGTCTGCTGCAACACCTGAATGCCCGCGAAACACGTCTCCCTTTCTCTCACTGTTTCTTTCCTAACTTTCCTCTTATGTATAATAATAATCCGAAGGCTATTGTTACAGTTCTCTAACATATATAATACTATAGTAATTCATTCTTTAATTGACAAACCTATGTTGTTGCTAGAACTTTACAGAAACTCCAAGAAGGGAATCCACTTGATGAGCATGCATACTGCAGAAAGTAGTTGTTGAATCTAAGCCCTATAACTAACAGGCTCCGCCACCAAACTTGCTGAAGTGTTTTTCTCAAAATCACAGCCTTTCATTATCTGGCATGATGGAAATTCTATAGTTTCCTAGTTATGCCGTGAGATTCTCTTTGTTGTTGTTGTTAAGTGTCCTTGAGTTAGTACCAACTCATAGCAACCTTATGCATAACAGAACTAAACACTGCTCGGTCCTGTGCCAACCAATCCAACTCGTTGGAGGTCTTCCTCTTTTTCAATGACCCTCCACTTCACCAAACATGATGTCCTTTTCCAGGGACTGGTCCCTCCAGATAATATGTCTGAAGTATAAAACACGAAGTCTGGCCATTCTGGCTTCTATGGAACATTCTGGCTGTATTTCTTGCAACACAGATTTGCTTGTTTTTTCTCTTCCAACACCATAACACAAAGCATCAATTTTTCTACAGTCTTCTTTATTAATTATACAATTTTCACATTCATATGAGGTTATTAAAAATACCATGGCTTGGGTCAGATTCACCTTGGTCCTCAAACTGACAGTTTTACTCGTGCACACTTTAAAGAGATCTTATGCAACAGATTGACCTAATACAAGAGGTTGTTTGATTTCTTGACTGCTGTTTCCATGAGTGCTGATGCTTGATCCAAACAAAATAAAGTCTTGAACCACTTCAATCTGACCCATTTATCTTGATATTTGTTGGTCCAGTGGTGAAGGTTTTTTGTTTTCTTTACATTGAGGCCATGATCTTTGATCTGCCCCGGCGTTGTTTTGACTGATGATATGGAGCCTTTCCACTGTCTCTTTCAACAGATGTAGTCAGTTTGATTTCTGTGTATTCCATCTGGTGAGGCCCATGTGTATAGTCGTCTTTTATGTTCTTTAATAAGGCATTTGCAATGAAGAAATCATTGATTTTGCAAAAGTCTATTATGTGATCTCCAGCATAATTTCTATCACCATGGCCGTATGTTCCAACCACCGATCCTTTTTTCTCTCTCTCTTTTTTTTTTTGGTTTCCAACCTTTGCATTCCAATCACCAGTAATTATCAGCACATCTTGATTGTATGTTTGTTCAATTTCAGACTTAAGAAATTGGTAGAATTCTTCAATTTCATCATCACTGGCTCTAGTGGTTGGTGCGTAAATTTGAATAAGTTGTATTAACTGATCTTCCTTGCTGTTGTTGTTAAGGGCCTTTGAGTTGGTTCTGACTCACAGAGACCCTGTATGTATAGGATTTCCAAGGAGCCGCTGGTGGGTTTGAGCCATCACCTTATGATTTAAACTGTATTTATTATGGTCCAGTGCTTATCATGTAGCACCACATCAGAACTCCAGTCTTCCTTGTAGACCTATAAACTCATTACCTTAGGATGTTTGACAGTATCTAAGAAGATTTCATCATTTTGCCTCCTGTATGGTCTCCGCGGGAGAAAGATGAGGCTTTCTGCTCTCGTAAAGATTTACAGCCTTGGAAACCCTGTACAGGGTTGCTATGACTGCATGGCACATAACAACAACAACATGGTCTACCACATTCATATTTGTGTTTGCAGTTTGTGCACCTTCATGTACAAATATCTTCTTTCAAACTCTTATATACTTTGTTGTTGTTGTTAAGTACCGTGGAGTTGGTTCTGACACATAGCGACCCTGCGTAGGGTTTCAAAGCTGTAAATCTTTACGGGAGCAGAAAGCCTCATCTTCTGTGGAACGGCTGGTAGTTTCAAACTGTCGATCTGGAGGCTAGCAGCCCTATTTGTAACCATACACTACCAGAGCTCCTTACATACTGGGATATATAAATAAAAATAAATAAATAAATATCCCACTCTTCCTCCCTTACCCATTCAGCATATGTCTCAATCCATGTATCTAGGCACAGACACTGTTGTTCAAAGATTATGTATATATTACTGTTACCTCTGTTCCTTTTAGTTCATGCATCTCTCTGTGTCTTCACTTGTCTTCATTATTCTTCTGCCACCCTCCTTCTTTTTGTATATTTTGTATATTGCCCCATCTCCCAAACTAACATGTGTCTACCCTCAAGCTTCTGAATTACTCTCCCCTTACTCCCACCCCTGGTAATCATCAAAGAATGTTTCTTTTAGTCTGGAAATCTAAGATTTTACAATAATGGTTTCATACAATATTTGTCCTTTTGTGATTGACTAATTTCACACTGCATAATGTCTTCCAATTTTATCTAAGTTATGAGGTGTTTAACAGATTCATCATTTTCTTCAAAGTTGCATAGTATTCAATTGTGTGT